TCACCTCTTCAATTTGTCCTGTACTCTCTACCTCTGGCCGTTGACCCTGCTTTTGTTTATTTCCTGCTTTCCATACACGGTTATACATTGGGATCTACGAATTACATTTACTTTCCAAGTGTAAATAATTATTATTAGCGAGCACCTATGAAGGCTGGCATGGCACACAAGGGGGTGAGTCCACCAAGAGGAGGCTCAGGATAATTGTCACTGGTGTGGGCTGTCAGCGGGGAAACAAACTCGCCGGGTTTGTAGCACAGGGCGCCATCTGCTGCTCTGTCGCTCCTCACTAATGCAAAGACACACACACCATCAGAAAGCTAATTCAAAACATCTCTAGTCAGTGATTACGCATGGGGATGCTCTGTTTATATTTTATGTACATGCCCTTTGATGCATTTTTGAATAACACCATCTAGAAATGAATTGATTGATTATTTGGTGATACTGCTGTGTTGGCAGTGGTGAACAAGCCAAAATAGCACAAAAAACAATTGCCAATGTCACCTTGTGGCCTTAAAAGAAAAAAAAGAAAACAAGCAACAGTTTTGGCAATGTCCATTATCAATAAGCGCACAAATAGGAGAGGCCTGAGTGACGCCTGGATAAGCCTAGGAGACTCTTGTATTGATCGATTAGTTGTACTCTAGACTTTGGCAGCCCTGAGCCTGTGATGGAAATTCCACATTTCCACGACGGAGGTAACCAGTCTTGGCACCGCGCTGCTGATTTCCCGCACACGGGGGGGCCAGTACTGTACGACGGTTCTAGAGAAGCGCAGCAGCAGCGGGAGTGTCGGCCGAGTCGTGTGCGAACATTCGCCTCGGCCGGAGCGTGAGCTGCCACGGGGAAGCGGCGACCGTACACAGGATGCGGTCGCCTTCCGGCCACCGCGTTAACCGCGGCCAAGGAAAACCTGGGAGCGGGCGAGTGGGCAGCCGGGCTGCTGGGCTACGCTGTTCTGGCCTCAAGCAAAAATACAGACGGAGTACACTGCTGCTGTGCTGAAATTACGACAGTCCCTTCTCATCTGATGGTTCGTTCATAGGATATCATTGATGAATTTAGTCTGTAGGTTATAATTAATGAATGTATGTGAGGTGCAGTCAGTGATTCTGCCTCGTGTTGCTCAGCCCATTCATTCATGAACACGTTGAATAATTCACAAGCTTTTATGAATGAGAGGTGTGCTAGCGGTATGAGCCTGTCCATCCGGTACTTTGTCAGTAGGCTTGGCGGATCCCACTCATTTTCATGTGATGCACGGTGGAACGGAGGTGGTAGTAGAGAAAGTAGGTTGCTGACCTTTCCTTGCAGACTTGAGAGTGTTATCGTGTGTGTGGGTTTTCTCAGGGTACTCCGTTTCCTCCCACACACAAAACCCTCAATAAGGAAGTCCCCGAATTTCCTTGTGTAGGACCCTCCTGAAGACGTATTTTGGCCTGCGGAAGGCCTTCCTGCACACAGCGCCCTGATTTTTATTTTATTATTTTGCCTGTTTACCCAAAAAAGCCTCCCTAAGTCTCAAGACCTTCTTCAGCAGAGTCCCGTCAAGTTTTCGCAGGAGGGGGCACGATGTCGCTGCTGCTGCTGCTTCTGTGCGATCCCAGTTGAGCAATTTTCAGGTAATGTTTCAGCATTGGGATGTTTTGGCCAAGTACCGGTTCCATTGCGGGTGTGTGTGTCTTTAGCTATGGGAGAAAACCGGGGAGAACCGGGAGGAAACCCATGCAGAACAGAGGGGGGAAATATAACAAAGATGTGCCCGAGGTCGGGAATGAAATTCATGCCTCTTTTACTGTCGGGACGAGTGTCTCCACTGCACCACCTTGCTGCCCTTAAACAAAATAAAGTTCTTGCTGATTTGAATATTGCATGTCTATTTTATTTTTTTTGCTCTGTCGTCTTGAACTCCGCGACCAATATTTATTTGATGAGAACACAAATAGAATCAATTGTGTTATCAAGACAAATACATTTTCACGTGTCTGGTATTGGTTTCATTGTGATGTATTGATGATGATGGTGGTGGCAGTGGTGGTAATATGATGATGGTAATGCCATGTTATGGTCTTGATGGTGCTGCTGACAAGGTTGTTGTTGACATTTGTGACAGCGTTGATGCTGACGATGGTGGCGATACAAAGATGATGGTCATTGGTGATGCTGGTGGCGACAGTTCAGCGGCGGTAACAACGTTGATGGGTGTCATTGCAACATGATGATGATGGTGCTGCCAGTGATCGCTGTAGAGGAAAGCCCCTGTTGTTGTTTGCGGTGACGTTCATGGTGGTGGTGGTGCCGTGTGTGCAGGTGGTACCATGGCAAGCTGGACCGCTCCATCGCCGAGGAGCGGCTGCAGCAGGCGAGTCGCCCGGGCAGTTACCTCGTGCGCGAGAGCGACCGCCAGCCCGGATCCTTTGTGCTCTCCTTCCTCGGCAAGACCGGAGTCAACCACTTCAGGTGTGTATGTGAGCGTGAGCACGTTTGTGTGATTGTGTGAGCACGTTTGTGTGATTGTTTGTGTGAGCACGTGTGTGCGATTGTGTGGGGAGCGGAAGTGTAGCGGTTAGCGCGCTGCGCTATTAACCTGGCGACCCAGGTTCGATTCCCGCTCATGGCCAACACCAGTGACGATTATCTGAACCGGTCCCGGGCCTCCCCTAGGTCGACTCAGCCTCAAATGAGTACCTGGTGCGATGTGTAAACATTATCACTAGGGAGACAAAGGCGGCCGGGCGTCGTGTTGGCCACCCACCCCCTCGTGTGTCGTGCCGGCTTTCATCGGTGCTCGCTAACAGCACTTACCCCTACAGTCTATTAAGGCTAAATAGGGGGTCTTTGTGTCAGCACGAGTGTGTGATTGTGTGCGTGTGAGCACGTGTGTGCGAGTGTGCGCACGTGTCTGTAATTGTTTGTGAGTACATGTGTGTGATTGTGTGAGTATGGGGAGCGGTAGGGTAGCGGTTAGCATGCTGCGCTACAGACCAGGCGACCCGAATTCGATTCCCACTCACGGCCAACACCAGTGACAATTATCTGAATCAGTCCTGGGCCTCCCCTAAGTCGACTCAACCTCAAATGAGTACCTGGTGCATTGTGTAAACATTGCAACTGGGGAGACAAAGGCAGCCGGGCGTGGTATTTGTCACCAACCCCCTCGTGTGCCGTTCCTGCTTTCATAGGTGCTCGCTAACAGCACTTGCCCCAACAGTCTGTTAAGGCTATAATGTGGATATTTGCCTTTGTACAACAGTAGCTGAGTGATGTTATCTCTGCCCCCTAATCCCACAACGCCAACCTCCATGCCTGCCCGTTTCGTTATCAGTGGTGCTCGGTATCCGTGGCTGGCATCGAGTCTCTCCCTTAGGTCAGCTCAACCTAGAATGCGTACGCTTTGTGATGGTGTACGAAGTACACTCGCTTGTGAGATGATCACTTTAATAATCGTCATTTCCTCGGTCCTCTGAGAGTAAGCAGGGTTGTGGTACTTTTGTCACGCTGACCCGATTTGTTTGCCCGTGCTGACGCGGCCCAGCAAGGGGGGGCGGGGGGGCGCATTTGCCGCTTGGTTGCAGATGCTTGCGGTTAGAAAGTGAATGCTGGCGGGCCGCCCTAGTGGTCAATTTGGGTGTCTTAACCATTGCAAGTACACCCCATCCACTGCAAAGCAGACGTTAAAGTTCCCTATTGTGTCGTTCAAAACGAGTAGGCCCATCCTGCGCTGGTGTTGTGGTTCGAATTAAAATATTACCCCCAAATTATTCTTACAACGTTTGTTTACCCAGGAAAGCCTCACTCTTGACTCTTTCAGGAGGGTCCTGCCACGTTTTCACAGTGGTGGTGGGGGGGGGGGGTCAGGATGATGATTGCTCTGTATATTGAGTACTTTGCGGTGTAATTTGACTAATGTTGGCCTACTCTTGCGAAGGACGTAATGCGATCTTTCACATCCACTGACGAGGACAGCACGTGTTTATACGGTCGATACAGCCGCAGTATTGACCAGGGCGGCCACTGTGACTCGATCCGTACAACTGCAACAAGCGGCCAATACGCAACTCCAAGGCCGTGTGACCACGGAAAAGAATGTGCCCACACCGGGAGATATGCCACGACCTCCTAGGTGTAAGCCAGTAGTCCTAACCACAAAACCACATGGAAATTAGGAGGGAAACCCATGCGGAACGGGAGGGGGGTGGGGGGGTGTGGGAAGACATACAAACTCCTGAGTCGGGAATCGAACCCAGGGCCTTTTTGCTGTGAGGTGCAAGTGTTGCCATTTCACTACCCTGCCCCACCCAGCCTGGGTCACAGCAGCGTAGCGTGTTTTGGCATGGGCCCTTTTGGACAGAATAAAATGCAGTTGCACCAGGCCCTTCTGACTGCGGGGCATGAGCGTCGCCATCATCGTGCTGCCACCCACCCTGCTGCCCAGTGTGAACCGTGCGGTCGTTGTGCCTGCGCCCCCCACCCTCTGTCCCCGTGCTGCCCCCACGCAGGATCATTGCAATGTGCGGTGACTACTACATCGGCGGGCGGAGGTTCTCCTCTCTGTCCGACCTCATCGGCTACTACAGCCACGTGTCCTGCCTGCTCAAGGGGGAGCAGCTCCTCTACCCCGTGCCCCCTCCTGAGGTTCCTCCCGCAGTCCACAACTCCCCCGAACTGACATACTCGCACCGTGCTACACGCACGCCGTGCCACGCACACACCCCTACCACACGCACACACTGCTACCACACACACACACACTGCTACCACACACACACCACTACCATACAACCCTACCACACACACCGCTGTGTGTGGATATTCGTGTTCTCGTGAGCTTGTTCCCCTGTGCGTATGTGTAATTGCAATGGGCTGTGCGCATTTATGTCTGTGTGTGTTTGTGCGTGCAGCCGGTCGAGGATCGGAGACGCGTGCGCGCCATCCTGCCCTACACCAAGGTGCCGGAGACGGACGAGCTCAGGTAGTGAAGCCCTGTCGCCGTGCCCGCCCCGACTCCCTCTCTCCCAACCCCTCGCCTGCCCGGCGTCGAGCGGACACACCGCTCGGCAACGGCACCACCGGTGCACTGGCACACAGCGGCGCGCGCCACCTCCGCCGCTTACAGGCAGTGGAGCGGCCTCGCCCGTCATGTCTGCACCGCCTCATCTCCTCCGCGAGACTTGGCCTCTCCGCTGTGACGAGCATTACCTCCCGCAGAGAGGGGGGGTGGCCAGATGAGCTGGCGCGCGTGTGCCGTTGATAATGACTTGCGCGCGCCGGCGCCGTCGTGTTACCGGCGCCGAGACCCTTGGACGCGTGTTTGCCTTCTGCCGCTCTCTAGCCTCCTCGCCGGTTTGCCTCCCTGCCCGCTGTGCGTGCGTGCGTGTGTCTCGCTGTGCGTGCGTGCATGTGTCTCGCTGTGCGTGCGTGTGTCTCGCTGTGCGTGCGTGCGTGTGTCTCGCTGTGCGTGCGTGCGTGTGGCTCGCTGTGCGTGCGTGCGTGTGTCTCGCTCTCTCCTTGCCTCTCTACCTCTCGCCTCCCCACCCCTTCCGTTCTTCGCCTCTCTCCCCCGCTCTCTCTGCGCCCCCTCCCCTGCCTTACAGCCCTGTCTTCCAGACCCTCGTGTACCTGGCACTCTCTTACGTTTTTCTGCTCTGCTTCAGGTAAGCCTCTTGCCTGCCCTTCTGCCCTTTTCTGCCTGCCCCTCCTTCTCCTGCATGCCCGCCATTCTGCCTGCCATTCCAGCTCGCCTTCCTGCCCTCCTCTGTTGTGCCCATTCTTTCCTGCCCGCTTGCCTCCCCGTCCTCTTCCAGCTGTGTGTCTTGTTCTCATAGGGGTTGTTCCCTATACAGGTTTGTAAATACCGTGTCTGTCTGCTCGTATTATTATTACCACAGTGTCGTAAATGTGCAGCGGTGAGACTTCTTATCTCGTGCAGAGCTATTACGAATGAAGGCGCTGCTATATTTCAGTCTCCAGTAGTTTCACAGTGGATAGGCGATATTGCTACGTGTGTAATCACAATCGAGTTTTCATATTATTTGGGTCTTTCGGTAAAGCCGCGTAGAAAGAATAATAATACAAATAATAACAATATCACGACGTTTCGATCGCAACACAAGCAATCGTCATCAGGTGAAAAAATATAGCGGGAGAGCTGCTGAGGCTGAGGCAGTTCTCCCGCTACGTGGCTTTACCGAAAGACCCAAAGAATATTAATTCCTGCAGTCACGAAAGCTTTAAGTCCCAATTGAGTAATTTTGCGATGTAATTTTTCCAAATTTGGATCCGTTGGCACTACATGGCCTTTAACGTCCACTGTGAGTGACGCAGACAACGTGTAGAATTTTACAGTTAACAATACACACCGCAGTAATAACCAGGGTGGCCTGCCGGATTTGAGCCGCGAGCTTCTGCAACAAGTGGTGGACGCTCTACCGCTGGGCCATGTCACCGCCCCAGGTGCTGAAGAGCGGGCAAAGACGATTACCAGTAATGATGATGATAGCGATGACGATGAAGGAGATCGTTTTACCGAACTGAGCAACAGACACAACGACACTGACGATGATTGTGTGTCTGTCAAGTTTTGCATGGAACTAGGACTCGTATCTTAACACCAGATGTTCCTATAAACATCTTGCAGTTCACCAGCATTGGTTCCAGCAAGGTGCTTCTGAGACACTGAGTGTCGCAACCAGTTTGCAGTTTGCTGCTGAAATGACAGGCTCACAGAGGGAAGGCCATGTGGCCAATGGGATGTTTAAAAATTACACTTGTTTATTTTCTGTGTGTGGAGGGACAGATATGCGAAGGAGGCGCGCATTGTCTTGTATCAAACACGTTTGATACTCGTCCAGCTCGTAGACTAAATGAAGCGGATCGCTAAGTTATTGAACAATTGAAGATGCCGCTCTTACACTTGTGCAGTATTCACATGCGTGCTGATCTGTGTGTGCGTGCATTATGGTGTGTGCTCGCACTTGCGTGCATATTAATTAATGCCTGTGTCCCTGTCTGCGTGTGCGTTTGCTTGTTTGCATATATCTTGCCTGTGTCTGGCTGTATGTGTTTGTGCCTGCGTGCGTGCATGCCTGCCTGCCTGTACATGCCTGGGTGTGCCTGTCTGCATGTCTGTATGTGTGTCTTTGTGCGCATCCCTGTCTGTGTACCCCCCTGTGCCGGCCTGCATGTTCCTGTCTCTGTGTGTGTTCCCGCGTGTTTGCACGTGTATGTATGTGTGTGCATGCCTGTCTGCGTGTTTACATCTCCCTGTGTGTGCGCGTACCTGTCTTTGTACCTGTGTACTTCCCTGTACTTTCCTGTCTGCGTTCATACGTGTTGGGTGCGTGTGTCTGCGTGCCTGCCGTCTGCGTCTGCCTGCCTCTGCGTGCACCTCGCCTGTCTTTGCGTGCCTACGTCTGCCGGTCGCTGCTTGCGACCGCTTGCGTCCGCTTGTGCGCGCCAACCTTTAGCTTTGTGAAGGGCGACGTGTTCATCGTGCACAACACCCTGGAGGACGGCTGGCTCTGGGTGACGAACCTGCGCACCAGCGAGCACGGAGTCATCGTGGAGGACCTGGTGGAGGAAGTGGTGAGCACCCATTCTTTATGCGACCTCTCCCCCCCTGGCCCGCACACCGCCGCGGGTGAAGGTGTGTCTTCGCGCTCGCCTGCTGGTCAGTTGGCGTGTGCCAAACTAAAATGCCGCTCGGTAGTGTAGACACAAATGAACGGTGTGAAATAAAAATTGAAGAGGAGCATTCATTGATTCATTCGGTATTAACGAATGGATTTGCAAGGGAGACCAGGATGTCGATTGTTCACGTATAGCAAACACGGAATGACACGACACGTATGTTCAACATACATACATGCTTGTATGTTGAACTTCTGTATGTTGAACTTTTTTCGCACCATACGTAACCAACCGTGCTAATTGGAGGTGCGGGGGAAGGACAACATATACATCACACACACATACAAATATCTCCCATTTAGCCTTCCAATAGGCTGTTGGAGCAAGTGCTTTTAGCGAGCACCTATGAAGGCTCGCATGGTACTCGAGGGGGTGGGTGGCCAGCACCGCACCCGACCGCCTTTGTCTCCCTCGTTTGAGGCTGAGTGAACTTAGGGGAGGCGCGGGACAGGTTCAGATAATCGTCATTGGTGTTGGCCGTGAGCGGGAATCGAACTCGAGTCGCCGAGTTCGTAGCACAGCGCGCTAATCGCTAGACTACCGCTCCCTACTGCATGGCACACACACATACACCCACATATATGTACACATATTACACACATCCATTGCCATAATACACACAAGCACCCACCACACACGCATGCAGAGAAACCTGTAATGACACCTATACAAATTTGTTTTACCTATACCTTACACGTTCAAAGCTAGCACGGGCAGCGTAGCAGTGGCTGATAAAGAATACCAACAACAGTGATAATAGTTTAACCAAAGATAATTATCCTCGACACCCGCATGACAAAGATTGCGCCTTGGTTAGCCGTGCTGTAGGGCCACTGACACGAGCGACCTCGGAGCTGGTTGTGGTCGGTTAGCGCCCCGTGAGAGGGCATTTGTAGCGGCGCTGCTGTGTGATGACATGGTGCGGACCGCTAACGGTGACCTCTCTTCTCTTCAGGCCAGCAAGGAGGATCCTCATGAAGGAAAGCCGTGAGTGTCGCCTCGTCTCTCCCCACACCGTGACCACCGTTTTGTGTCTGCCAGCGCTGCCAGGTAGCTCAGCGGTAGAGCGAGGAGGCTCCCAGCAGTCGGAAGGTCACGAGTTCAAATCCTGAGTCGGCCCATCATCCCTTCCCCCCCCCTGGGGTTGATAACATAGGTACCGCTATGTGGGGAAGATCTGACAGCTGTTGTCCGATGGATACACAATGCCCCCACCTTTCCATTGAATTTCGGAATCTCCACCACTGTCTCTGCAGGGACCATTGGTAAACTGTAGATGAGGAACAATGCGTCGATGCCCAGGTGAACGGGAATTCACTTTGGCTTGAGCAGTCACGGGGACAGAACTCGCCACAGGTGTAGCTTCGTAAACAGCGGCATGTACTCGTGACCGCATCAGGCAATCGCAGGTCGAGGGAGATCTTGAACCTGGACTTGAGCAGGGGCAGGGAATCAACAACTCGGATGGACGGGGGAAAGGAATTCTACAGCAATGGGGGCAGCAGAGGAGAATGAGCAACCTCCCCACTTATGGAAGGTTGACCGGGACTTTCCACGGACAGCCTGGGTTGCTGGAGCAGAGGACATTAGGAGGGGAGTAGAATGAGACCGACTTGGCCGACCTGGTCTGGCTATGTGTGAGTTATATCTGGAGTCTGGCTAGCCAAGGTTTCACCATCCCGAAATGGTTTAACGGAACTGAAACTCCGTCTCTTGTTTTGCAGGTGGTTCCATGGCAAGATCACGAAGCAGGAAGCGTACACCCTCCTCATGTCCGGTGAGAAACTCGGCACACGGCACACGCTCGCCCCCCCCCCCCCCCCCCCCACCTTGTTAAGGCGCGTCGCGACACCGAAAACACAAGAAGCTGGCAAAGCAGCCCATCGAGGGAGCCTGTGTTTTGCCGTAGCTTTCAGGTGTGTACAGATGGCACGTACACAAGAAAACTTTCGTACACGTGAGCTCGCACACGTGCGTGCGTCGTCGAAGCGGCGATTCCAAAAGTTTCTGGGTCCGTGCGCCTCCATCAATCCTCAAGATGGGTTTTTGCGGACCACCGTGCAGTAAATAGATGTGGTGCTTTGTGGGAAAAAAATCCCCCCTACCGCCTTGCAGGCACCATCAGTGGCCTGGTCAGGCAGGCTCGGCGGGAGAGCGAGCGGCTCGCAATCCGAAGGTCTCGAGGTCAAAATCCTGGCTGGGACTGTTGGCTTGGCCCAGCATTCTTCCCCCTAGGGAGTCGATACAATAAGTCAATGAGTGTCACCAAGTGGGGAAGTCGATGGCAATCGTTGTGCTTTGGATATACTCACCCCGGCCATACGAATGTTGATTTTTTTTTTTCCTGAAGTGGGCAAGGTGTGCAGCTTCCTGGTACGCCCGTCGGACAGCACGCCGGGTGACTACTCGCTCTACTTCCGCACGCCCGACAACATCCAGCGCTTCAAGATCCAGCGGTCCACCAGCACGCAGTTCAGCATGGGCGGCCGCTACTACAACAGGTGTCTGAGCCTGTGTGTGTGTGTGTGTATAGTGCTCGCTAACAGCACTTGCCCCAACAGTCTGTACAGGCAATTCGGAGGATCTTTGTCTTTTTGTATGGGGAGGAGTATTGTAGTGGTTTAATGGGGCTGCGCTATGAACTTGGGTGATCCTAGTTCGATTCCCGCTCTCTGCCAACAACTGAGACGATTATCTGAACTGGTCCTGGGCCTCCCCTCGGTCGACTCAACCTCAAATGAGTATCTGGCATCATGTGTAATCATTTCCACTTGGGAGACGAAGGCAGCCCAGTGTGATACTGGCCACCCACCGCCTCGTGTGCCGTGCTGGCTTTCATAGGTGCTCCCTAACAACACTTACCCCACCGATCTGTGCAGGCTATCTATGCAGGGGATCTTTGCGCACGTAAGTGCTACAGGCCACGCTGCAGACAAGGAAAGCGTTCGGTTATGGAGGAATTCACCTTCCCACCGTTGACGATATGCCAGAAAAATGCACGGATTTCCCGAAGTCGCGAGAAATGTGGATGAAATGGAACTTGCCTGCGTCCGTACAAGCAGCTGTGGCGCGCGGCGAACCCCCGCCCCTCCCCCACCCGCGGCTTGTGCATGTCTCTCCAATTCTTTGTTGTCTTTCCCCCACACTTCTGATTAGCACAGTTGCCTACGTACGGTGCTAAAGAAGTTCAAGCATACATGCGACATGCATAATCTGAGACGAGCGTGTGCCGTTGCTTTGTAGCATCGACGAGATCATCAATCACTACAAGCAGGAGCAGATTGTGGAGGGACACAACCTCAAGGAGCCCGTGCCCGTCCAGGTGAGAGGCGGCGACGCCAACAACACGTGGCATCTGTCGGTCGCGGGTGTCTCTTCCCGCCTGGCGTTTTTTCCTCTCGTGTGTAGACAGCCGTCCTGCTCCTCTCTCTCTCTCCACTCAATCCTGTCCAGGGCCATCTCTTGCACGTCCACTACAATCCTCCATATCCCTCCAATGTCCAACTTACCGATCGCTTTGCCAGGCGTTTTGCTTGCATTTTCATCATCGTCAGCCATGAGCAATCCACTGCTGGATTAAGTCCTCCCCAAGCAGTCGCCATCTCTCACGGCCACACGGAAATCCCATATCGCTCCTGCTGCACGTGAGATAGAATGATTGTAACATCCGGCTCGTACATGCGCTCTATCTCCGCGGTGGACATCCCTCTTGGGGTGTGCAAGTCGGCAACACAAATGTGAATGAACTCGGAAACAATTTTAACCTTTCGAAAGCGTTTGTGATGCCAGTGACTTCAGAAGAAGCCCTCCTCAAATGAGCATCGAGTAGTGCAAATCTATATTGACAACCCTGAGCCACTGGTGGAAATTCCACGTTCCTATGTCAGGAACCGGTCTGTCCAGAGGATAACCGCGATTGAAATTCCCACAAAGTGGTACAGCTTCATCAGACGGTGCTCGTCTCACCCACCTCGGAGAGGAATGCCGCCCACGATGGTGATGGTAACGGCGATGACGAGGTTGCATTTGCGCCGACAGGACAACAAGTTGTACTGCAACATGGTCGATGGCAAGGACATCTACCGCACGATCCGCGAGCGACAGAGAGACACGATGCTGCTCAAGAACGTGGTGAAGAAGGGCTACCTCCTCAAGAAAGGTGAGCGGCGGCGGCGTCGCCACTTTCACCGCCGACCCGAGTTTTGCTTTCCGACCGCAGTGAGGGCATCCTCCGGGTGTCGTGCTCGTGTCTGGCAGCAAGAAGGCCGTGGGTGCGATTCCCTACTCGGGTGCCTTTCTGTGCAGAGTTTGTATTTTCTCCCGCTGATCTGTAGAGAGTGTGAGTGAGAGTGGAGTTTGTATGTTCTCCCCCTGTTCTGTAGAGAATGTGAGTGAGAGTGGAGTTTATCTTCTCCCGCTGTTCTGTAGAGAATGTGAGTGGCGTTTTATGATCTCCTGTTCTGTACACAGTGTGAGTGAGAGTGGAGTTTGTATATTCTCCCCTTGTTCTGTAGAGTGTGTGAGTGCCGTTTTTATATTCTACTTTTTCTTCATGGATTTCCTCCAGCTTCCCCGGTGTACCTCCCATAGCTAAACACACAGAATGTAACTGGTATTGGCCAAAACATCGCAATGCTGAAAATTGACACTGAAAATTGCTAAATTCAGACGATGGGGGAGGGGGGGTGGTGATTGCTATGCGTTTCCCAATTAAGTCACTGGATCAAGGGGAAGATAACCAAGAGGCAGAGATGAGTGATCTGGAGATGAGAGGTACGGATTAGTTGTCACATGCAGACGTTATGATGTAACGTCTGAATGATGTAACGCCAGCACACGCTCATTGTATTCCTCGGCCCATGAGGGAATATGACCAGAAGGGCTCTCTGCCTTGGATCTTTTTGCGTGATCAACGATGACCGGACTGAGGCCTTCGACTGTCTCCGCTTGAGAACCTGGTTCAACCACGGCCGGCTGAAACGCTGGAATTGAACCCAGGATCTCGGTTGCGGCAGGCTAGCCTGCCCCACCATCGTGTCCGGCGCGCTGAGCCGGGCTGACGGCCACCAAACCCGGTGTGTGCCGCGCTGCCTCCCACAGGCAAGAGCAAGCGCTGGAAGAGCCTCTACTTCGTGCTGGGCGGGAACGACGCACAGCTCTTCTTCTTCGAGAGCGAGAAGCGTGCCACCAAACCCAAGGGCCTCATCGACCTCAGCATTTGCTCCATCTACGCCGTGCACGAGAGCTTCTTTGGACGGTGAGCTGCGGGCTAGTGGGCTTGGCGGGTGGGCGAGCTTGTGGCTTGCTGGTGGGCTGGCAGGCTGGTTGATGGGCTGGTAGGGGTGGGCTGGTGGTCGGACAGCCTGGTAGGCGATCTGATGGGCTGGCAGACTCGTAGACGGGTCCGTGGGCTGGCAGGTTGGTGTGCGGGCTGCAGGCTGGTGGGCGGGTTGGGTGGTGGGCAAGCTGGTGGACTGGCAGGCTGGTGGGTGCTGGCTGTCTGGTGTCTTGCTGATCGCGTCCACACTTTCCCACGCAGGCCCCACTGCTTCCAGATCGTGGTGCAGGACTTCAGCGAGGAGAACGACATCTTCTACTTTGCCGCCGAGACCCAGGAGTCGGCGCAGGTGAGCGGGCGGAGCGGAGGGGCCGCGCGCGGGTTCGTAAACGCGCTCATGCACGTGACGAAGACACGTGTTTGACTCGACAATGTAGGATTTCGGAGCACGATGCTAATGTCAATTACGGATCAAAGCATATCTCAAAGTCGTGTATGTGAAAAGCAATTTTAACATTATAAATAATGGCGAAGGAGAGGGGATTCGGTAATTTCACTCGCAGACATAATCGCCTATGTTACCCGAGCCTATATCAACACAATACATGTCTACACAATATAATACTGTAAATTAAAAATTAAATCATGTAAACTCTAATATACTTCTTATAAAATAAAAATGTAAATAAAGAGGGGATGGATGGAGACGAGACAAAGGGAAGGGCGCCGGTCTCCATGCGGCGAGATGCTGCACGGTGCAGCACGCTCGTCATCGTACCGCACTGGCTGCTGACAACGCCATTGGGTTGCGGTGCTAGGCTCGGGTAGCGTACGTCGCGTTGCGGATGGCATTCCGAAAATTGCCTCGCATGTGTCAATAAAAGGTCTCAATGCAAAGCGCGCGTTATTCCATAACGCCGTACTATAGAAGTGCATGAACCGAGGATTGTCTGTATAACCCCAGAGGAAGTGGTGGTGCAGTGGTTAGCGCACTGACCTACGAAGCTGGCCATCCGCGCTCGCTTCCCGCTCGCGGCCAATAGCAGTGATGAATATCTGAACCATTCCCGGGCCTGCCCTCGGTCGGCCTGGCCGTAAACGAGAAATTGGTGCGGTGTGTAAACATCGCCACTGGGAAGACAAAAGCTGCCGAGCGTGGTGCCGGTCACACAGTCACCTCGTGCTCCATGCCGGCCTTCACAGGTGCTCTCCTAAAGGCACTACGTCGGCTACACGGGGGCATCTCTGTCTGTGTGTGTGTGTGTCCTCAGGAGTGGATGAAGGCCATCCAGCAGTCCTGCGCCAAGTTCCGCCGTCTTACGCAGGGCTCCACCAACAAGCACCTGCGCCAGGTACTTGCGGCACTACACGCGATCGTAGCACGGCGAGAAAAATATCTTATTTATTGTTATGACTGACTTGGTGTCGGTAGAGCAAACACCTCGCTTTCGGAAGGTCTCCAGTTCATATCGTGTTTGGTTGGGGGTTGGCTCGGCCAATCATTTCTCCCGCGTCAATAAAATAGGTACCACGTTGTGACGAAGTCAAGTGGTTGTCCAATGGATTAGGCTCGCCCCCCGCCTACCATCGGGATGTGGAACTTGTTCCACTGGCTCTGCAGGGCTGTAAATGAGAGATGAGCACAAATGTCACGATGCTCATTGGAACAGGAGATCACTCTGACTTGTTTCGAGAAACTAATTTTCCTGAATATTCGTTGTTTGCGCAGTTTTTTTTATTTCCTCTGTAATCGGATTGTGTTTGCTCGCTTCGTTGCTGTATTTTGTTTTTACTGTCTTCTCTGCGGCAGTACGGCCGTCCACTTTTCACCGAGTTAATCTTAACAATTAGCAATTCCCGTTAGGGTCACGGAACTGGTTGCAGAGAGAGTTTTTTTTGCGTGTGTGTAATCTTTTTGCTGTGGGGAGCGGCAATGCCGCACTACGAACCCGGCGACCCGAGTTCGATTCCCACTCACGGCCAACACCGGTGACGATTATCTGAACTGGTCATGGGCCTCCCCTAGGTCAACTCGGCCTCAAATGAGTACCTGGTGCAGTGTGTAAACATCGCCACTGAGGGAGACAAAGACGGCCGGGCGTGGGGCTGGCCACCCACCGCCTCGTGTGCCGTGCTGGCCTCCAAAGGTACTTGCTGACAACACTTGCCGTGACCCAGCTCAGTCCAACCTTGCTAATGAGACTCTTACCATCCAGTTTAACAAAATCAACTTGAATGTGACCCCGACGTGGCGCCGCCGCCGCCGCCACACCCTCGCAGGTGCGCAGCCTCACGCTGTACGTGGAGGAGGCGCACAAGCTCCCGGCGAAGCACCTGACGCACCCGTACTGCACCATCCTGCTCAACAACGTGCAGGTGGCGCGCACGCCCGCCAAGGAGGGGCAGAACCCCGTGTGGGCCGAAGAGTTTGTCTTTGAGTGAGTGCGCACGGGCACGCTCGCCGGCGAGCTCTGCCATGTCACCCGCCTTCTCTCTCGATCAGTCACTCGCTCGTTGACTTTCTGAGTCTCTTGCTCAATCACTCACTGACTCGCTTAGTACCTTGCTTAGTCACTTGCTGACTCGCTTAGTCCCTTGCTTAGTCAAACGCTCGCTGACTTGCTCAGTCACTCGCCGAGCCACTTGCGCACAGACTCACTCAGTCACCCACTGGCTGACTTGGTCACCCTGTCAGTCAATTGCTTGCTCGCTCACTTGCCTGCAAGGTGATTCAGTATCACGATTGTAAGTTTCCAAAATACCATGTTGATCGTGCTCGGATGGGTGACCACCATACCCAACAGGCTGCTATAGACTGCTGTGGTTGTGGCTATGTTGAGGGCAGCACAGGGTAGTGCAGCAAAATCCAATGTTGTCCTGTACTTGATGCTCCCCCCCCCCCCCTTCAATCCACACTGACCATCAAGGTGAAGCATGGTCATATAACCCCCACGACCCAGATGGCGGGCGAGGGGAGGCCGTCATCCAGCAGTAGATTGGCTGCTGTACACAGTGCGTGTGAGCATCTCGGACGTGCTGTCTTGTGGGAAGCGAGGCGGTGTTGCGTGAGGGTGCGGGCGGCCGGGTTTGATCATGTGTGTATGTTGAACTTCTTTCGCACCGTATGTAGCCAACTGCGCTAATTGGAGGCGTGGAGGAAGGACAACAAACTTAACACAAAAAGCAGTTCTAAAGAAATGAGTTTTCAATCTATGTTATTTAAAAATGCATGGCTGTAGTGGCTTAATATCGGAAGGACGAGCGTTCCAGATAGCCGCAAAATCGCATCTGACAGCACGCGATGCGGTGACCATCTTTGTTTGATGGTTAGCTAAAAGCCGCTGCGAAGTTGACCGGAGTTCGTGTGATGGCTGATGCCCCTTGACGAGATCAGCAAGGTATTGCGGTTCATTTGTGGCATAGCATCTTGTGTGTCAAGAGCACGACCTTGTAATGTGTTCATTCAGCAACCGGAAGCCAATGCAGAATGGCCCCCGCTGTGGAATTATCGTCCATGCCTCTTCACCCCCTGTGCTCCCTTCTACCCATCCAGTGACCTTCCCCCGGACATTGATGTGTTTGAGATCATCCTCAGCAACCGGACCAAGAAGTACAAGGATCCTGACATCTGTGAGTGAAAGTTGAACATTGTAACCAATACATCACCACCACCACCACTACCACCATCGCCACTGGTGCTACCATTACCACCAATGCCACACTACTGCCTATCGTCAATGTCATCCCTACTGCCACCATTGCCACCATCGCCACAAACAACACCTGATTAACATCATCTCTTCTCCCATCACCACTTAAAGCTCCTTTGCTATTGCTGCCACTACCATCACCACCACCACCATAACTGCCACCAGTGCCACCACTATCATATCCACTGCCAATCACCACTGCTGCCACCAGCATCACCATCACCACCTCCATCACTTTAACCATTGCCACCACCACTACCATTATTATCACCACTACCATTATTTCCACCGCTGTGATTCCCACATTTCACCCATGAATCTCACTGCGAGTACAACTTGAGGATCTGTATCTCTCGGTGGTGTTCACACACGAATGGGAAAGACCTGGCCAATGGCGTTCGTCACTCTGCCTTGTCACAGGAAGCTGTGCAGTCAGCTGACATTGGGCAGTGTGGTACTTCAGAGGAGGAAGCAAGGCCAGCCAGGGCTTGTTGTGTCGATGAAGATGGCGTTTGCTTTGTCAGTAAATTGTTGCAGGGAGTACCAGCTGGATTGCGAACGCAGGACAAATGGCTCGCTCTGATCTCTCCTTGCTCCCCATCTCCCTCGTCTGCATTCTTCCACATCACTGTTCTCTCTCTTTTTTCCCCCCACATCGCTCTATAACCCTCTCCAACTTCCCATTCTCATCCTCCCTGTGTCTCCATTTCATCGCCCCCTCATCTCCCCGTTATCGCCGTGCCTTTCTCTACTCCTCGTCGTCTCCCCCGTGTCTCTATTCCGCTCGCTGCTCATCCACTTCTCTCCTGTGTCTCTCCCGCCCTTCCGTCTCCTCTTCATCTCCCCCCATGTCTCTTCATCGCCCCACCGTCTCCGCAGTGTTCATGTGCTGCCCGCTGAAGCGGCTGCAGAACGGTCACCTGACGGACGAGTGGTTCCAGCTGACGTCGCACGTGCCGCTGCGCGGCGTCGAGCCCGGCTCGCTGCGCGTCAAGGCGCGCTACTCGCTCGAGGTCATCATGCCCGAGGACGAGTATGCCGACTTCCGCGAGGTGAGGGTCCCCCTCCTCGCCTGGCTGCCAACGTCGACGTCGTCCTGCTGCTAATGCTGCCGACGTTGCTGCCGATGCTGCTGCTGATGACAGTGATGATGATGACGACGGTGGTCATGCTGGTTATTTGATGATATTCCCTATGCATACAGCATTTCGATTTTCTGGTTGTTGCCACTTGACGGCAGCAGTAGCGGATATCATCATGCATGCGTGCGTGTGTGTGCATGTGTGTGGCCTACAAACAGAGGGGAGGGATAATTATATCAGCGCAATGCGCTATGAACCGAGTTCACGACCAACATCCATGGTAAATATTTTAACCAGTCCATGACCTCCCCTATGTCGACTCAACCTTAAAATGAGCACCTGGTGCGGTGTGTAAAACATCAATACTGGGGAGACAATGGGGGCCGGTCGTGGCGCTTGCTACCCATCCCTCGTGCGCCTTGCCGGCCTTCATAGGTGCTCGCTAACGGCACTTGCCCCAACAGTCCACGGGTGAGAGGGCGCCATCTTCCGAGTCGCAAGCGTAGACGGGGACCGAGGGGCGGCTGCGTCGCGGTCGATTAACCGAGCACCGTCCTGTTGTCTTCTTCGTCGCCGCTGGCGTCGCGTGCAGCTTCTGCAGCAGCCACGCGAGTACCACGTGGTGCAGGCGCTGTCGCACGTGTGCGGCCAGGACCGCTCGCTGCTCGCCAGCACGCTCCTGCGCGTCTTCCGGCACGAGCGGCAGGAGGTGGCGCTACTGCGCACCTTCAACGACCGCGAGATCAGCATGGAAGGCAAGCGCCCGCCACATGCCTCTTCACGTGCCCGCCAGCCGGTCACACGCGCACGCACGTTCTACGCTCCGCTCTTGTGGGAAACTGTAGCCACAATAATTCTGCACGTGCGTGGATTGGGTGGCGCGTCTTTATCGCTCTGGTTGTTTGCTTTTGGGAAAGCTGGGTTTTTAACAAATTAGATGACTCGGCCCAATTGTACCTCCTGGGGTCGATAAAGTGAGAAGGCAACAGTTGTCGCCCAATGCGTAAACTCACCTACGTCGTGGGAATGTGGAATTCCCACCACTGACTCTGCACGGCTGTAAATGGAAGATGAGCACCAATGCCTCAATGCTCATTTCAGCAGCAAATCAGATTAAGCTGACGTTGGAAGAGCAACGCAGGTTTTATTGATATTGTTTCTAATTTACGAGCATTATAGACTTGTAGTTCCCCCCCCAAATGTAAAACTTTGTGTAAACGATGAGAAACTCATTGGACAGAAACTTGGATGCAAGCTGGCAATAAATGAGAATCCATATACTAGCAGGAATTGAGGTCAGCACAGCGCAAAGCACGACGTTGACCCCATGGGATGGTTCCTCCCATCATGCTTTGCATTCTTACCCTCAAGACTCCTGGACACCCGTGCAAATGAGATGTTCCATCTCACGGGATTGAAATGATATTAATAAAAAAAATACGAGCTGTTATTTAAGCCAAGATCTGCTTGTTTTTTGGGTCCTTCGATAAAGTCACATAGATAGGTTTAAAGAAAATAACAAAAAAACAACAATAACAAACTACACCGTTTTTTTACTCTACTGATAGACCCAAAGAATATGAATTCCTGCAGTCACAAAAGCTTCGAGCAAGATCTGCTTGCTTCAACAGGACCCGTATCTTGTAGAGAGAGAGGGTCCTTTCTATGACATCTGGCAGTTCACCAGCATTGATTCAAGCAAGCTTAACTTTTGCTGACGAGACTGTGTGCGTCGAAACCGGTCCAGAGTTTTGCTTGCACCCAATCAACGCCGCTGAAATGTTGCACTCCCAGGAGGTTGCGGGTCCGATGCATTCCGTGAAGCGCACTTGCGTTTTTTAAGTGGCGATACGGACATGGCAAGGAGACGTCGCTGTCTGCGAAACGAAATCTGCCTCGTTTCACGGCTTGCGCTTTGCGCTGCCCGTTCATCCTCGTCGCCCCTCTTCCCCCCCCCCCCCCATCCTCCCCCGCGCAGAGGAGGCGGCGACGCTATTCCGCGCCACCACGCTGGCCAGCACGCTCATGGAGCAGTACATGAAGAGCACGGCCTGGCCCTTCATCCAGCACGCGCTGCGCGACACCGTGCTGCGTGTGCTCGAGAGCCGCCAGTCCTGCGAGGTGCGCCGCGGCGATTGTGCCGCCAGCGTGTGCGGGGCATCAATCGTGCATGTGTGCGTGTTTGTGCGTGTATGTCTCACCACTCGTTCGCTTGCATGTGTGTGGTGTGTAAACATCACCATTAGGGACACAAAGGAGGCCGGGCGTGGTGCTGACCATCCATTCCCTCGTGTACTGTGCCGGCCTTCATAGGTGCTCGCTAACAGCACTTGCCCTAACAGTCTGTTAAGGCTATACGGGGGTCTTTTTGTGACGCGGCGAGTTTGCGGTGTTCTGCGTGCGAGGGGCGGCGCTGTGCGAGCGAGCCATGAGTGGCGCTATTTTCTCGCCGCTCGTACGAGGCGCCCGTATTGGACGGTCGTCATCTCCGGCAGTCAAATCGTGCAACGCCCCGGTTCTGTACCGTGGCCTCCTGTCCGTGAGCCCATCGACACTTCATGTGGCCTCAAAAGCGCAGCAAACCAAGCACAAGCGCTGTGGCGACGTCAACCGCCACAAATACAACAGCGGCGAATGGCGGCTGTTGTATTTAATAGTCATGGCTCGACTCAGGCTTGGCTCTGGCTTAAGCGAGCCGGCTCAATGCCACACTTTACTTGAGCCAGCTCCAAGCACGGTCCCAGCCCACGCTCAGGATTTACTTTTGCCGAACCTGAGCTAAGCCGCTCATACTTGTTTTAGAAGCAGTTGCAAGACCCGAGATGTGAGCGTGAGAGACCGAGCCAGAGCCAAGGTGTGACCAGGAATATGGCCCTGAGTGCGTCTCAGTGTTGGCGGGTGTTCTTCCTAGCGTGTCTCAGCGGTTTCGTAACACGATGACAAAGATCCGCCAAATAGGCTTTGACTGTTGGGGCAAGTGCTGGTAGAGAACGCACGCATCGGCGCTTCTCACGCGGCCACCATCCCCTCCGCCCTCTGCAGCTGAACCCGAGCAAACTGGAGAAGGGAGAGGACGTGAACGCGAATCTGGGCCACCTACTCGCCCTCCTCTCTGAGCTTATCGAGAAAATCTTCCTGTCCACGGACGACTTCCCCATGTGAGTGCCGATTCATCCCAACGCGGCCCCGAGTGGACGTTGGTGTGCACGTGTGTGCGTGCGTGCGTGCGTACTCTGTGTTCGTGTTGTACTGTGTTCCTGTGTATGCGTTCGCATGTCAGAAAGAACGGCAAGACGGCTCCTGAGGTTGGGAACTAATTTAAATGGCATTGCCGTGGTGAATTGTGGGTATTCAACGGATAGGCAAAAATGTAACAGGACCAGTTTCGCCTTTAAGACTAATCGTACGTGCACATTCTACATCACGGCATTAATAATGTTACTGTTATTATTCCGCTCGTTTACCCAGGAAAACCTCACCGAGTCTCAATACTTTTTCAGAAGGGTCCTGTCTGGTTTTTTGCAGTAAGGTGTCGATTTGGACTTGTGTGATTCAATTTCAGTAAATTGCAGGTACCTTCTCAGCATTGGGATATTTTTGCCCAATTCCAGTTATATTTTATGTTTTCTTTTAGCTATGGAAGGAAACCGGAGAACCCGGACGAAACCCCCCATGCAGAACAGGGGGAGAACATACAAACTCTGCACAGTGGGGCGCTCCAGTCGGGAATCGAACCCAAGCCCTCCTTGCTGTGAGGCCATGAGTGCTACCAACGCGCTGCCACCCTGCCATTCAATGTCACGTGACATCACCGTACCGCATTGTTTTATGCACACTGCCATGTTTAGACTGCCAAACCCTGTAGGGGTCAAAATCTGTGGCCATGTGATTTTGCTCCATCGGCCTTCGGGGACTCCTTACACCGTGTTTTTCAGCAGCAATTGTCTTAGGTGAGCTTTACCAACCCTCATTTTGGTCTCTTTCTGTTATAAAAGCCCGGCATTACGTTTGTCCGTCAACTAAATTATGAGAACCTTTCGGAAGGCCTGAATCTAAAAGTTATGGGAAGTGGACCCCTCCTCCCCAGACGTGGGGGTAAAAAGTTGATCCAACAGGTTTTCAAAAATTGTCGACCCCTCCCCCCCCCAAAAAAATGAACACACCCTACATACAATAGTCATTGGTATCTGCGCACATTGGGGGTGTGGGGAGAAGAATGGGACATCGGTGGGGGCGAGGCGCAAAGCTCCGAGGAGCCCTCCGCGGGAGCTAGAATAAGGCGGTCGTAGGCTGCCGAAATTCTAGTTGCTTAAACTAGGTTCACACTGCTTACATGCCCTGCAGAGAATGCTCACCTCGTGCCAGTCCGAGCTGGCGTAAACCATGAATTCACTGCGCTTGAGAACCCCGATGGTTTCTGCATTGATGTTCGGCATCCACGTATCCACGAGCGAGCACATCCTTCTTCACCGGCACCGCAGAGATACAAACAGAATTCTCAGCTGGAATAAACCTGAATTGAGTGAGAAGCCAATTATTATTTAGTTTAACACGTAGGCTTTCGCGACCAATATTATTCATAATAAACATTTTTGGGTTATATCGCGTTAATTTTATAAATGTGTCGTAACCCTCCACCACCCAACACGGCCAATCAATAAAAAAATGTCACGTTGACAAAAGACAAATAGTTCACTACTTTAGCCCACCGGTGTGTTGAAGAGTGAATCCACAACATTTACAATTTTTGAGTACGACGTTTCGCTGGTAATTACATCCAGCATCTTCGGGCAATGTTGCCAGAATAGTGAAGCCCTCACTTGCTCCCGGTCTTAAATAGAGCAGCAGGGTGACGTCATCATATAACCCATTCAGGTGCAGTGATTTGAGGGGGGGGGTATTGTAATTATATCATAGATTAGTAAGCAGTCAATAGTTATGATGAGTAATGAGTTGTAGATTAGTAATTAGTTGTAATATGTATCATTATGATTAGTAATCAGTTGTAGATTAGTAATTATTTTTAATGTGTGTTATTCAATAACGTAACCCAATTATTATACCAAAGCAGGTGCAGAGATCAGAAGGGGGCAGAGGGGGTGAGATGGTTATTGTAATTATATACTACGTTAGTAATCAGTTTCCCCTATAAGAAATTGTAATATGTATTATTTAATAATACGCTTCCAGGCCGCACTAAGCCTGTAGCTGTCAGAGCGATTAAAGTTATTTGTATTTCTCTCAATTTCAATGGATTCTCTAATTAGTCTTTGCCAGTAATATGTAGTTTTACACAACACTTCAACGTTATCAAAATCAATTGAGCGTCCTTGTTGGCAAGCATTGGTGGCCAGGCCGAGGGCATCAGTTCGCTTCAGCTGAGAGCCCGGTTTCACCACGGGTGGCTAGAGCCCAGAGGTTATAAGTCTGCACGTCGTCTGTGCCGGTCCGGTATCCGTGCCGCGTATTCGGCCCCTAAGGCACCGAGCACGCTCGCCATCCGCTCTCCTGTTTAAACGTCGATGCCCTCTCCTTTCCCCATCTGCCATCCCCCCCCTCCCCCGTCTCCCAGGACGCTAAGGTTCCTCTTCGGCTGCCTGCAGAAGTCCGTACAGGAGAAGTGGCCGGCGAACGAAACCATGCGCACGCGCGTCGTCAGGTACGTGGGGGAGGGGGCCCGGGATGGCAACGGCCCCGTGACCTTGGGTGCCAGTGGGTCAGCCGCTCGAGCGGCGAGCGTCATGTCTCACTTATGTTTTGCTCGTTTACCCACGAAAAGGCCTCGATGAGTCTCAAGACTCTTTCTCAGGAGGGTACTGCCAAGTTTTTGCAGTCGGGGGCACGATGCTGCTGTTGCTGCTGTTGCTGCTGCTGTGTGATCCCAATTGAGTAATTTGCAGGTGATTTTTATTTCTTGCACTAGTTTTGGTCCAGTATTTCAGTGACATTGGTGTGGTTATGTTTATCTTTGGGAGGAAACTGGAGAGCACATCCAAACTCCACACAGAAAAGCTCCCGAGTCGGGAATCAAGCTCAGGGCCTCTTTGCTCGGAGGCACAATTATTACCGCTGGGCCACAGTGACAGAGCGTGCTTAACACGAGCCCTGTCCACTATTCTCCCTATTGCTAGTCCAGCGCATGCGCCCTCTGGCCCAATGGGCTCCGGTGCAGTTGCACGGCCTGCACTCTCGATAGCTCCACGACCAATGGGCCGACTGTTCAAGGCAACTACAATCATTGTAAAGTGTATGTGTGTGTAGCGGCATAGTGGTTAGCGCAACTGCACTAGGGATCTGGCACCCTGATTTAAATTCCCGGCCATGGATAACATCGGTGGTGGAGATTTGAACCGGTCCTGTGCCTTCCCTAGGTCGACTCAGCCTGAAACGAATACCTCGTTCGTTGTGTAAATATCAGCCCTAGGGAGACGAACACAGCCAGGCATTGTCCAGCCCACACCCACCCTCTTGTGCGTGATGCTGTGACCCTTAGAGTTGTAAGTTTATTTTATTTAACCAGGTGAGAACTCAAGAGTTTCATTTGCAAGGGTGACCTGGGACATTATTCGATTAGAAGGGGGCCGACGATTGCCGTCTGTGATCCCACTTGAGTGACTAGCAGTGTCATTTTCGGGTTTTGGCATATTTGGAGTCTGACGCCGGCGTGCATCGGCCTGCTCTTCCGAATGACGTCACGGGATCTTTGAGGTCCACTTTGAAGCAGACTGCGTGTGGTGTTATGGTCATTACAGCCGCAGTTGTAGGTGCTCGCTAACTTCACTTGCCCCAACAGTCTATTAATGCTAGACGGGGAACTTTGTCTTTGCGTGTGTGTGTATGTATGCACAGCGGTTTTGTGTTCCTGAGACTCATCTGCCCGGCGATCCTCACACCCAAAGCTTTCGGCATCATCTCCGGTACGGAACGCTGCTCCACAATGACGGTGCCACTCGTGGGCAGACCGTCTTACAGACGGGGGTCGTGTGAGAGTGAGACCTGACGCTGGTCCTCGCGAAACCCTCACCGCTCCTCTGAGCCTGACCACTAACAGACACCACACTCACCAGATACACTCACCTCTCAGCTGACCTCCGTCACTAACAGACACAACTCACGCACACTCACCTAATACTCGCCACTCACAGACACTCACCACTAACAGACATTAAAAAAGGAAGCACAAAGTCAGCGCAAAGCACTTGACTATACGCATACCAGTCGAGTGTTATTCACTTCTGCTGTGTGTCTAAATGCAAGCTGATCTCACGGTGCAGTACCGAGAGAGGGAGAGGAAGTCGGTGATGGAAGACACGAGGAAGGTATTCAGTCAGGACTGGAACAGGGACAGGGAGTTGCCAGCACGGATGACTGGGGGAAGGGAGCTTTAAACGCGTGTGTAAACACGTGGAGAACGGTAGCGTCGTGGTTATCGCGCTACACTACAAACCTGGCGACCTAAGATTGATGTCCACTCATGGTCAACATCAGTGACGAATATCTGAACCAGTCCTGGGTCTCCCCTAGGCTGACTCAGCCTCAAACGAGTACCTGGTGCGATATATATAACATCGCCACTCGGGAGACAAAAGGCAGCCGGCCGTAGTCCTGGCCACCCACCCCTTCGTGTGCCGTGCCTGGCTTCGTAGGAGCTACCCACCAACAGCGCCTGCCCCAGCATTCTGTTAAGGCTACGCGGGACATCTTTGTCTTTGTTTGCAGACCCCCCATCTCCTACAGCCGTCCGCACCCTCCTCCTCGCCGCCAAGTCCCTTCAGAACCTCGCCAACCTCGTCGAGTTTGGAGCCAAGGTACAGCTCCTTAACAGGACGCTTGCCGACGACACTGGCCACACACGCGCCGTCGCGCGGCGTGGGCAGTGCCAACTCCGGGGAGATCACCGCAGCCGGGCGCGTGCTTTGTCCTGGCAGCCCCACCTCCTGCACGCGTGTGCCGTGCCGGCCTTAACGCACAGCCCGTAATGTCGCTCCACTGCCGTGCGGGTCATTGGGTGTGTTTGACCATACTTCATCACGCTGGTCACCACGGGTTGGTGAAGGTCGGATGTGGGAGGGTTACAGGGCAACAATGGATTTTGCTGCACTGCTGCCCGCGGTAACCGATAACACTTGTGTCTTTTGTGCATGGTGGTCGCTAATCCAAGCACTATCCAGGCCCAAACCTACTTAACATTCGAAATCTGATGTGATCCAGTGCAATTTGGCTGATGTGGTCATAGGCCGGCCTTAATAGAGCAATGCCTAACCGCACTTACCTCCTACAGCCTGTGTCGGGGAGTGGCGGTGCAGCGGTTAGCGTTGCACTGTGCAACGAATGAAACGACCCGAATTCCATTCCCACTCATGGCCAATAAGTGACGGCGAATATATTTGAAACGGTCCTGGGCCCTCTTTCCCTTGGTCGGCTCGCCCTCAAATGAGTACCTGGTGGGGGTGTGTAAACATCATCGGGCGTGGTGCTGCCACCCACTCCCTCATGCCCCGTGCCGGCGTTCATAGGTGCTCGCCGACCGCACTTGCCCCGACAGTCTGTACAAGGCCACACGGGGGATCTTTGTCTTTGCGTGCAGGAGGCGTACATGGAGGGCGTTAACCCGTTCATCAAGCACAACCGCCAACGGATGGTCACCTTCCTGGACAAACTCGCGGTAACCATCGTGATTGTGATCCTGTAGCAATAACGATGATGATGACGGGAATGGCGATGATGACAACGACGATGATAATGACAATTATAACTGCACTGACGACGATCTTGACGATGACGACGATGATTCGTTTAGAGTGTAGCTCTCTAACGCAGTGAGTGGCCCTCAGTAGCGCTGTTGATGGTGCTCCGATTGGTGGTGTTGACGCTGCTGTTGACGTTAATACCGAGGTTGGTGATGCTGCTGTTAGCTGATGTTGCTATTGTTGCCAATGATGCTGTTGGTGCTGCTGCTTCTGATGACGATGATGATGCAGTCATTGATGCTGATGCCGTTGTTGCCGCTGGTGCTGCGGCGTGCAGAATGTGCAGGAGTTGTGCGATTCCCCGGAGCACTTCAAGACGGACGTGTCGCGCGACCTCGCGGCGCTGCACAATGTCTGCGTGTGCCACCTGGACGAGCTGCGTACGCTGAGCAACGAGCGCGGGGTGCAGCAGGTGACACGCGCGCACGCAAGCACGCACACGTAGACAGCCGCCGTTCACCGTTAAGTGGCGGTGGCCTCACCATTGTGCCAGGCTAGGTGCTCTTTGAGTTCATATGAAGCGTGGAAGGCTCACTGGTAGGAGTTCACAGGTGCCATAGGTTGACTGGACATGTGGTAAAATACTGGACATCTGTGTAAAGGCACTTTATAGCTCATCGGATCCCTCCAGTATAAATAAATATTCTCATTCTGACTGAGATGATTGGCAGATGCACCACCTGTGCTCCCCATTGTGTTGTGCATAGGACAGTCGGGGGCGATGCTGCTTTGTGTAATATTAATTGACTCTTCGAATGACGTCAAGGAATCTTGAACGTCCACTGCGAGCGAAGCAGACGTATGTACAGTATGTTGAACCTCTTTTGTGCACCTCTTTTAACCTACCGTGCTAACCGAAAGTGCAGATGGCGCGTGGTTAGTATCTTACGGTTGATGCAGACCGCATTGTTAACCAGGGCCACCCGCCGCATGCGAACCACGAAACGCTCTGCCGCTGGGCCCCGTCACCGTGACCACGTAGACGCTCGCCAACGGCGCTTCGCTGTCTCGGCGGCTAAGCGGAGGGGTGGTGGGTGACCTCCACCTTTGTGTGTGCGAGTGCAGCACGCATTGAAGAAGCTGCTGGCCATCACGGAGATGCTGCAGCAGAAGCAGAATCATTATTTGTCCATGGGCGGGCAGGTCAGGTAGCCTCCGGTGGTGTCCTCCTGCACAACCAGCTCAGCCTCAGCAGCCCCAGCCCATCCATCGCCTTCGCTCTAATTTATTTTACTCCACCTCGGTTTTAACGCGTCGTCGTTTATACGTATATTTTTTTCTCCATCCCCCCCCCCCCATTCGCATACTCGACAGCGCAACGACCGAGGTCTCCTCCTGCCAATCACAGCCTGCAACGTGTAATTTATAGCTCAAACATACTCGTCTCTCTCTCTGACGGTTTTTTTTTACGTCGATTTATAAATATGTGTATACTTCGTAAAATTTTTGTATCATGTTTATTATTATTCCCGTCGACGTCTCTGCTCCGCAATCGTTTTCTCCGCTCGTTTTTTTCCTTCATTCGGCCGATCGTCGGCGGCCGAGCCCGGCGGGTTTTCCCCCCCCGTGCCCTGGCGTCACACTCGTCCAATCGCAAGCCGACGTCCGGGCCACTTGACCCCACTTTTGTCCAATGGTGCGGCCCAATCCGGCAGCCGCGCTCTCTCTCTGTCTCTCTGATTCCTGCGGAATCGTAAATTCTGCCGCGGAGGATGGACTAAGAGCGTGCACACGTGTTGCGTGTCACCTCCTGCCTCCCGCTGGCTCGTGGTTCATTGAGTTAATTGCTGCGGATTTTGTTTGGGTTGGCACTTGCACCCCTCCCCCCCACCCGACTGCGTGTTTTTATTTGCGAACGGTGGCGGCGACTTTGACGATGTTCTGAAGAGCGAGGAATAATTATAATCGATGCATTAATGAGATATGATGGGGTGGGTACCAGGTGTGGGGGAGGTGGGGAGAAGGGGTGGGTGTAGGGGAGGGGTAGATGGGGTTAATGGGATAATTAGTAGGGGTCATCACCGGTTAGGTAAGGGGGGGTGGGGTTTGAATAAATAAATTAGTGATCAGCTAACACTATGCAAAATCACGTGTGGAAAACACACGCAAGCAACAGCCACCATCGCACGGACGAACGGATGGATCACCGGAGGGACATACAGATTACCAGACATCACCGGACGGATTACCATACAGACGGACAGATGATCACCGAACGGACCGACAGAATGCTGGGCATGCAGGGCGCATGGTCGCGGAGCCGCCTCGCCGGCCACAAGTGTCGCCGGCTACACGCCTAGCGAGTGAGTGGCTCAACAGCCGACCCAACTGCCACTGGCTGCTCAATCTGACGAACCGCTCGGGCGGTTTTACCCGGCGGTTCGCCAACCTTTTCTGGACACGCGGACCGCAGCCAACCAATCATGCTGTGAAATGCCATGAAAACTATTAACTTGCTTTTTGTTGAGCGTTCTAAATAGTCGTGCCATGGGCAGTCGAACACACGGTGCTTTTTGTGAAGGGGAATCGGAGTTTAAATCCCCAGTGGTTTGCACGACGCCGGTTGACTGCTGGCCATGAAATCTGGTCGCGTGTTCGTTGCGCAACAGCCACGGGCCGTCGAGTCGGGGCGGCGTGGCGAGTTTTAAAAGAGAGATTTTTATTCTTTTGGGTCTTTCTTTTCTCGGGGCGGGGGCCGGTGATTCCGCGCAGCACGTCCAGGGCGGCCGGCCGGCAACTCGTGACCTGCGTGGCAAGGTGCCAAAGCCACCACCGGGTTGAGCCGAGCCGAACGAGCGAGTCTCCGGGCTCCCGTGTGCCGGGCACACTCACACACACTCTCACTAATGAAGACATCACAACAAAAACAGGGTTTCTAAATGCCGGTGCGGTCGTCATTTAGGCTGCGATTTCTTAATTCCGATGTTCTCTAATAAATGTCGATAAGCACAAGGCTGCATGGTAATAGTTCCGCACGCTCTCTCTTGTGTTGGAGCAACTGGGGGGGGGCAGATTGTCTGGCGAGCCTGCAGCCCCCGGGACATGCGCGTGCTGACTTGTCCCCCCTCCACCCTGTGGGAGTTCTGAGGAGTCGTGAGCGCAGCGTTTTGCTGTCGTGCACAGGGAAGGCAAAAGAAGCCGACAAATGGTTAACAAAAAAAACATTGACGATCGTTGGCTTCCCAGCAAGCGCGTGCTTGATCTCTGGTGCGTTGTCTCAAAGGAAACGTTCATCCGTACGCATCCCGAGATACCGGACCCGGTGTCCCGCGCCGGGGGTGCGGTGGCGTTGGGTGTCTTTCTGGATTCCTGTCCGCGCCGGCGTCTGCTCTGCTCCCCGTTCCGCGATGTCCTCCCTCGTCGCGCCCCAAAGTTCAACCACCCACCGCCGTTGCGGTCGCGTCGCCTCTTCCTTGTCGCCCGCGCCTCTCGAAATACAGTTTTCCACTACGTGCACTTAACTATACAAACAAAAAAAACTTTCAAAAATTGCAAAAGCAAACAAAAAAATGTAACCGTTGCCACCACCACCACCGCGCACCCTCGTTGCTGTCTCCTTACTCCAAAAGCGCGACGTCGCGTCTCGCCGGTGCCATCTGTAATGCGCCCGTTGCTCCCAATGCTCGCGTTATTTCCCGTGTCACGTTCCTGCCGTCACCACCGGCTTCACAGTTTTCTTCGATGATGATGTTACCGTCGTTTAATACTTAAGAGCCGTGACGAACGGGCGGCAGAATCGGCCGAAAGTTGTAGTTTAAAACTGACGACGTTTTTCTTTTTGTACACGACATGTATCAAATGAATAAATGCTGTTTGTTGTTGGAATAAACAATGCCAAATATGTACATAAATCATCGCCGGTTTGCAGCATGGTTCATTTGACACGAAAACCACCGTGCTTTGTCGCATCGCCACGCTGCTAATAAGCACACCGCGTGGATTAATGCGTGGATTCATGTCGCATCTGCTTTTGTTTTTGACGGATGCGATGGGAGTCGCGGCTATTTTTACGGTTCCGCTTTTTTGTTCCAGGAAAGCCTCGCCGAGTCGCATGACTTCTTTTCTTTCAGTAGGAGGCGACGGTTGCTCGATTTTTAACAAACTGGGGGGGCATGTCCAGCTGTCTAAGCTTGGCCTGCTGCTCCCGTGTGATGGAAGTGCCGTCGTGAAACAGAGTCGTCGTGAAACCGAGTTGTGCGCCCAGCCGTCGCTCACCGCGGATTCCCCTCTTGGGCGGTGGTTCTCAATCCGGGGGGGGGGGGGGGGCGGTACACGAGGTGATTTATAAACGTGTGAAATTATATCATACGCGAGAGTCATTGGTGAATAATCACGTATGGATCTGCAAATGGAAAATAAGTACGGGAAAATGTCAATTCATACGCCACCCTAGAACGATCCAAAGGATCTTTACAAAATTCATTGATCTTTTAACAAAGTGGTTTCCAAGAGTAACCGGCGAGCAAATGACGTCACGCACGCAGAGCGTCCCGTTAGTGGTATTTGCTGGTGAGGCTCTCGCTCACAAAACGGGCAATTGGTTCAATATTGGCGTTCATTGTTCACGTCTCGTTCTCGGGACCATGTTAGGTCGGACAATGCGGTACTCGGTTTAAACGAAATTCAACGCGGGGGGGGGGGGAGGGGGGTAATAGCCAAACAAGGGTTGAGAAACCACTGCTGTGGAATACTCTATCATGCTCTTTGGGTTAAAACGTCCTGACCTCGCCTGTGTGGCGTAACGTGAAAACCAAGGATCGTTCTATACACGGCATCCATGCGAATTGCGTATCTGTCAACCACTTATCAGTGCCTACCTTAACACAGACCAATTCGAACATTATTGGTCACCCCGTGCCCCTTATGAATCTCAACGTTCATCCTACAAAGTGTCGTCCCAAGGGAGAGACACGGACACATTATGGGGGTTTTTGCCCGTATCGAAACGGCTGTACGCCGTGTGGACCTAAAAACTAAATGTCCCTGCACAAGAATACGGGGTTCTAAACCACGTGGGCTGACACGGAGTGGCATCTCTACGACCGCCGGCAAGGAACCACAGACCGAGCTGCCAGGCGGCGTGGAACGGCGCTCACTACGAGTTCGGAGTTGATGTCCACCCACAGTTTATACAGGAAGCGGGGCCTGTGCTGATGCGTCCTCTGGGAGTCTGTGGGGGTGGGAGAGAGCGGTGGGGACCCCTGGAGGCAGCGTGGGATAATTATTTATTATTTTTTACCATCTGGTTGCGATTCTCACGCAGTGTCTTAACGCAGTGTCCGGCTATCCGGGGTTTTTGTTCTCTCGGAGCCGGAAATCATCCCGTGGGCGGCCGGGGGGTCACAGCGGGGAGCTGCGGATCGTGCGATGGATGTTGGTCAGTTCGTGCAGAGCTGAAACTCCCGGGACGGAGTTGCGGAAAGCTCTGCACGAACTGCACACCCCGGCGCCAAGGCTCTTTGTGCTGTTCTCGACCTCGTGCCGCTCGTCACTGGCGGGAGGTTCGTGAAGGACGCTGCGTTTGGACAGTTGAAGGCGCAGTCGCCCTCACAACAACGAACGGAGCGCCGGGCGGCTAAAACGCAGCGAGGTGGCGCGGTGCGGACCACTGGTGGTGCATCATCTGCCTGCCATCTTAGTCCAACCCCATTGTACCTGCTGGGTCTGTCCCGTGACCTGCCGGTAGCGAGCCTTCGACACTTCACGTGATAGCCACAGGGTGCACCTGGCCTGGCACAGGCGGCGCGGTGAGGTCACCGCCACTTCGTGATGGATGTCGGCTGTTGTTGGTGATGGTGACCGGGAACTGTAGGTCGGCCAGGGATGAGTGAGCGAGCGAGCGAGCGAATGCAGCAGACACCCTCGCCACAGTCGCCTTGCAGTCCACCCTTCCAACGTCCCCCGCGTTTCTTGAGTGTCGGTGCGGAGTGACTGAAGTGAACACAGCCATCACGATGGCACTGACGTTCCACCTCCGATTAGCACGGTTGGCTACGTACGGCGCGAAAGAAGTTCAACGCACACGTGTCTTGTAACGCCACCGCACAGTGATCACTCCGCGCGCTCGGAGAGAGAGGCAGAGATGCGCCAGGGGGAGGAACCTTGCCCAAGGTGCGCGGTCCTACGTGTATCAAGATGTTTATCGCCCGAGTAATGAGTAGCTCATACACGTGGGGAGGGAACCAGAGCACCCGGTGAAAACCACACGCGTGCCTGGAGGCGACGCTCCATCCCATGCAGATGGAACAGATGGCGATTAGTCCGCATTTTTTATGCATTTTCGCTCACAACATCTGCGTGTGATGCACCGACCCCCCTCGCTGTTGTCTCCACGTCGTGCAGGCCACGTGCAGCGTAGCCGTCGTTGCCCGGTGCGTGTGGGCGACTGGTGAAGACTGCCTGACGTCAGTCGGACTCGTGCATTTCAAAGTCCAACTCATAAGCGTTACATCTCGCACGAGTAACTCTCGTGGCATGTTCCAAAGGCATTTAACAACAACAACGGGTTAACCTATATCCCCCCCCCCATCCCGATGTGTAACAACAGCCACTTGGATATTCGATCGCTCGGCGCGGCAATTCCTTGCTCCACGAGAGGGGGGCTCGCGTGAGCCCTGCCCCCCCCCCCCACGTGTCAATGTTCATGCGCTCTTCGCCGAAGTCGTTTTTTGGTCTCGCCAACCGCACTCACTGGGTCTGGGTTTGGGGAAGTCGCTAGTTCCGTGGGGGAGAGAGAGACAGAGCCACAACTCGTGGGGTTACTTCTGTCCCGTGCTCCGTGCGAGTGGACACCACGGGGAGTGACGGAGCTCCACGTTGAGTGACGGAGCTCCACGGGGAGTGACGGAGCTCCACGAGGAGTGACGGAGCTCCACGGGGAGTGACGGAGCTCCACGGGGAGTGACGGAGCTCCACTTGAGTGACGGAGCTCTACGGTGAGTGACGGAGCTCCACGGGGAGTGACGGAGCTCCACGGGGAGTGACGGAAGCTCCACGAGGAGTGACGGAGCTCTACGGGGAGTGACGGGACCCCACGGGGAGTGACGGAGTTCCACGGGGAGTGACGGAGCTCCACGGGGAGTGACGGAGCTCCACGTTGAGTGACGGAGCTCCACATCCAGCACCTCCGCTGGAGTTTCCTCCAAGCAGTGACCGGATACGTTCAGAGGTGAGGACGTGGAGCGGTGGAGAGACACTCTCCAGTCGGAGTTCCACGGTGCGCAGGGACGTGTCGGTCATCACTCCCAACTACTCCGGTCTCTCCGGGTGAGCGGATATTCGGAGACGTGGCTCTCAGCCCCGCACAGATGGCGTTAGGGATAGGAGATAGTGTTTGGCATAGGGTGAGAGATGAGGTTAGGGTGAGAGATGAGGTTAGGGCATAGTCTTGGGATAGGGTGAGAGATATGAATAGGGGATAGTGTTTGGCATAGGGTGAGAGATGAGGGATAGTGTTGGGATAGGGTGAGAGATGAGGGATAGTGTTGGGATAGGGTGAGAGATGAGGTTAGGGGATAGTGTTGGGATAGGGTGAGAGTTGAGGGATAGTGTTGGGATAGGGTGAGAGATATGAATAGGGGATAGTGTTTGGCATAGGGTGAGAGATAGGGATAGGGGATAGTGTTGGGATAGGGTGAGAGATGAGGTTAGGGGATAGTGTTGGGAAAGGGATGATAGTGGGTCTGGTTCAGTGCGGAATTGCGGGCGGGTTACATGGAGTGGCTGGGGTGCGCGTGACAGCGGAGCGCTCCGTGTTAGGTCGGGGCTGAGTGTGCCGCCAAGCGGCTTCTGCTGCTCACTTCCCAAATGACGACGCCGCCGTCGCCACCGCCGCGAGCGATAACCCTGACCCGCAGCGGCGTTAACCAGGGCGGGCCGCCGGGCTCCGACCGCGAACCTGCGCAGCTCCTGCTGGAGCCGCGTCGTGGGCCAGACGTGGCCCTCGCAGACAGAGTCGGCCCGGGGGGGGGGGTGCAGTCTGGGGGAGCCCGGGGCAAATCCCACAGCGTGGGCCCACCGCCCCAACGCCTTCAAACTAAAGCGGGAGTATTACATCTGACATCGTCACCACCACCAGCACCACCAGAGTGCAGGGGCCCGGGGCGTGTACCCTCGGGGCGGCTGTGGCTTCCAGCATTCGCGTTACCACGCCACGTGGAGCCATCAAAGAAAAGGGGGAAGAGCCGAGCTGTGTGCTTTTTGTTGTTCTTCCCCTCTCTCCACCACCCGATCGCTTTTTTCTTATCGCAACGCCAGAAATAGCAGCCACACGATCCATGAGCGGAATTTCCTCAAATTGGCCAACGCCCCGTGACTGTCTCTGAGCGTCGCCACCGCTGCCCCCCGCGCCCCTCTCTGTCTCCCCACGCCACTGCTCCGGTCACCCCCGGGGCTGCCCCCCTGGAAAAATATCTGCGGTGCTTGTGCAGCGACATAGAATGGGTGACTACGGCAGCGTAGCGCTGGTGGCTGGTCGAGAGCGAGATCGTGGTTGGAGTCGCCCGGTCTACCAGCAGGGCAGGTGATGACTGGCAGTGAAGGGCATTTGAGGATGGAGCAGCCGGTCTGCCAGTCGGGAACGTGATAGGCACGGATGTCGGGTACAGGTGACAGAGGGGACACGTGCGACAGAGCCCAGAACCTTCTGGTAGGTTCCAGAAGGGGGCGTGGCCGAGGGCGGAGCCAGGCCGCGCTGGGGGGCATAAAAGGGAGGTCCCGAGGCTGGGTCGGGGCTGCTGCGGTTTGGGAATGGAGCCGTCGTCTTCGTCCCCGTCTTCACCTCCTCGTCGGTGTTGGGTCAGGCAGAGTGCCGGCTGACCTGACACGTATATAGTTATCCCCTATACTG